TTATTCATTTATAATGCATTTGCACAAATTCATAGTTATAAATACCTCATTGGTCATATATGCTTCTCATTCATTTGCAATCCTCTTCCTATACTTTTCAATTTTCATACGCTAAACTTTTAAACTTTTCAACTTTTCAATATGGCTCCCACCTTCAATCTACTTAACCAAATCACTGCTACCTCCACGAATTTTGCGATACAAGTTCGCCTAATTCGAATGTACGAGTCAACATTCAACAATAACACCTACAATTCTCATACTTTAGAGTGTGTGTTTCATGTTTCTAAGGTATATTCGTCACTTTTAGTATAGATATATATAGATTATCTTTTAGTCTATATATATCTCTAATTTCATTGCAAAATTAAACAAAATATATAATAATTATTAGGTACAGTAGCTTACAATATTTTCAAATTTAGTTCATTAAACTTAATTCATTTATTGAACAAAAATTACAGTAGCTTGCATATTATATATATATATATATATATATATATATATATATATATATATATATATATATATATATATATATATATATATATATATTCAACATAATTTTAGTATATAGAATATTAATACTTTCCACATTTTATTTCCATTAATCATTTACCATTGATAATTACTAGGCTAAAAAACACGCCATATTCGTGAGGATTTATTTGGGTGAGGATTTATTTGGTTTCTATCTATTTTTAGTGCAACATTTATTTTTAAGCCAATCAAAATCAATTACTCCAGTATGCATATTTGTTTTCACATAAAATGTTTGTGTTTATGGGAATAATTATGGTTAGCCATTAATGACTCCTTTCTCAATGAGCCTTAACTTAAGAATGAAGTTACAAACAAAAGGGTGACAGAAGACACTAAGAACATTCCATCACAAAACATAAAGGGTAAGCATTGCGATTACAGACCTTGAGGAAGATTACATCTTCATGCACCATTCGGTCAAAGAGGAAACATTACCATCAAAAGAAAGGTATTTCATTCTCATTTCAAAAACATAAATATAGTAGAACATACTTTGTAGTTATCATGTAGTCAATGATCTATGTCTTTTTATTAAACTGTTAGCACTAAAAACCACTAATCTTTTGGTGAAAATGGTGATTCGCCTATGTTCTCTCTTTTGTATTAACCCAATAGTCGCCTGAAATGTTAGGAAACTGTAATAAGATTTAGAAAAATTACATCAACACCAACATGCACAACCATAAACAATATGTTCCGGGATAACCAGGCTGCTACGTCTACGTACATTCAACTAAAAAGTACTTAGAAAATTATAATAGATCTATACATCAACAACCAACATGGTATATACCACGAAATTTTCAATAATTTGTAATTTTGTCACTCTTATTTTTCTATATTGTATGTTAAAGTAATTTCTTTATTCTTTATTGTTTCTATTTTCCATTTTATATTTCCATTCCAACTTTTTATATATTACATCATCTCTTAAATTTTTCACACAATTACACAATAAGATGAACAATATTCATCCCATGCATCGCATGGGTATCATACTAGTATATATATATATATATATATATATATATATATATATATATATATATAGGGTGATTCTCTGGTGCGCACCACCCTTTAAATGTGAACTCGTGCACCACCATGCTTCACTGATCTGTGATGATCCGAAGGCTCTAAATTACGGTGCACTCTTTTGTTGTACCTGCGTTACATATTAGCGTATTGCAATTTCATAAATTACTATTTTTTAATTTTGAATTACCGGTTCCCTGCGCCTTCCCGTGCATGTTTCACGGGGGAAGTTTGTGACTAGCGGTAGGATACGGAAACGCAGGTGAAGGGTTCCGTCTACCGTATTGGCGAGCGCAAAGTTGTTCTTACGTCCGGGCGATTACACCTCCATTTTTCAGTCCCCACCCCCAGTGCACGTCCCTTCGTGCGGTTTGCAACTGCTGGCCGTAACATCAGGCACATTAGCGATGAGCGTCACGGTGACTCCGGAGTTGCCAGGTAAGCATTTCTGTGGCGCATCCCAGTAGCCATGTGTTTTAGTCTTACATCAGGTGTTCCGGCGGCCGGGATATACACGCATACTTAGCATACTTTATATATGTTAATTCCCACACATGCATCGGGGTGCTATTTCCTGTTAGTTTCCCATTTTTCTTTTCTCCACAGGTTCGTATATACATATATATGTTTTACATTTGATTACTAGATAAGACACCCGTTGGTGTTGATTACAGGGAAAAAGACGGGCTGCTGATATATAGTTTTTTGTTTTACCGGAGAGCAGCATGGGTAGAGTTTTTAAATCTGTGTATGTATTTGTATCGTGTTGCACGTATATGAATAACAAACGCATATATCATCCTTCACGAAACGAATATTACCGAGCACTACCAGGCCACCCACATAGTGTGGGCTCTACTGATACAAAAAACAAAAAACTTGCAGCATAGTTTTGGTTGAAACTAGAGACACATATGAACTGCTGCAATTCGTTGTAATATGCTTCGCTTATAAACTTGGTTGCATGGTCCTGTTATGTGTTATCTCACATTTATTAATTAGGTTCTATAGTTTTAGGTTCCATGACTACTATTCCCAGTCAGGGTATGTCATGTGTAAAATGAAAAGTTTTAGGTCGCATTTTTGCTTTGTAGTCTATACGATTCGCTAATATTTTGTAAAATTAGAATTTATAAGCAACGATGTCAATTTGTTCTTGGCCTATTTTATTACTTCTGGGTGCTGGGTAATTTACATTCTTAAATCTTGGGTTACGTTTCGTTGTAATAATTCTGGAATTAGTTTTTGCAATTTAGTTACTAATTGGATCAAGGCTTAATTGCAGTACCCTTTCTATGATTTTACATGGCAAAGGTACAATAGCTACTCTAGGTAAGATTTGGCATGAGACAAATAACATCTCTGACCTTTGTCACTATGCCGTTTGATTTTTTAGATCGCTACTCTCCTCTTCAATATATCATTTCCCAGACTACTTAGATGGAATAACTAATGTTTAGTGGTTGTTTGTTATATGTTGTAATACAATGCACTTACACCCCCATTGTTATAAGTTGGTTGTTGGCGGCGGACCCATTATAGTGGTAATATTTCTTTATTGTTATGTTTCCCTGCCCCGTAATATTGTTGTGTTTCCGTCCACAGAGGGCCATGCAAACGAGGTGGTTAGTGAGCACGTCCCACATGGTGCGCGTGAATTAGTAGCAGAGCGGACCTCAATTTGGTGTCCGGACGTTGGCAGTGAAATCACCCCTGTGGTTGGGCGGCGTTTTAGCACATTGGATTCAGGCATCGACTTCTACACAAACTATGCACGGGTCTGTGGGTTTGATGTGCGGTTACACACCGTGAAACGGGACCGTGATGGGAAGTCCGTAATGCGTTACTTGGTATGTAGCCGGGAAGGCATTAAGGGTCGTGGTATTAGCAAGCTGACCGGTGTAGACGGTGATAGTGGTGGTAAGAAGAAGCAACGAAGACGACGGACATCTAACAGGGTTAAGTGCAGAGCTAGGATCTGTTTAAGGAAGGTGAGCAGTGGGGAGTTTGAGATAACTGTGTTTGTTGAGGGGCATAGCCATCGTATGTGTTCCGACGCATCGAAATTATTTATGAGAGTTAACCGGAAGTTGGACGTGGCACAACAGGCGTTTGCAGCAAACTGTGTTAGGGCGAATGTTGGTTCGTCCAAAGGTTTCAAACTATACAGGGAGGTCACCGGGTCGTATGAAAATGTAGGCGCGACAGATACCGAGTTTCATAATTTCAAACGGGACCTCCAGGTTTACGTTGATGGCAAAGATGGTGAAATGATTATAGAGAAGTTTAAAACGAAGCGTGCTGTTTGCGAGAACTTTTTTTATGATTACTACTTGGATGAAGAAAACCGGGTTGCACGACTTTTCTGGGCTGACCCCATTGGTCGTCGGAATTTTTCCCTATTCGGCGACGTGGTCTCGTTCGATGCTACTTACGGTACAAACAGGTACAACTCCCTTCACTATTGAATTAACTTGAAACTCTGAAGTTAACAAATTAACTGTGCACCCAATTTTGGTATGATTGCTCATTTATATTCTGACTTTTTGTATAGTACTAGGTACTACGGTGACATTATGAGAGCTAAATGTGCAATTAATTTAGTTGTGATTGCTCATATTTATATTTAGACTGGTTTTACTAAGTACTATGGTGACACACCACTCGGTATAATCCAAATGCCACATATCATAAGGTTGTATATGGTACGGCAAATTAGTATGACTCCGTTCGACACTTTAAATATTAATTAATTATTTATTAAACTGTGGAATCAAATAAATTTTTGAGTACTACTGACTCAAATTTGTATTAATTATTTATTATATTGTGGACTCAAACTGTGGAATCCAGTGCATGCTTAGAACAATGTGGTTCGTGCCGACAACTTATGTGTGCTGGGTTTTATGTTTTTGTTGCAATTAAACTGATAGTTTTTTTTAGTTATATGTGGTATTGGCATAGCTTAACAGGTGCACACCACCTTTTTCTTAATTACACCAAAGCAATTTGTGGATTCATCTATACCCATTGTTTTTTGTTTTGTTTTTTTTTTTTGTTTTTTTTTTTTTTTTTGTCGTGGTGATCTTGCAAAGTGCCGTTTTTAATTTCCCAACCTAAGATTGAAAGGTTGGAATCAAAATTAGAGTTTGTTTTGGCACATGTACATAAAAATAAACGGGAAATATTAAATTGAATATATGTGTACTTGTGTACATATGTTTGCATCCCCCCCCCCCCCCCCCGATGTTTTACATAGCGGGTTGGTTGATCGGTATTTTGTATTTTGATCCAGGTACAGTTTGGTGTTTGTGCTGTTCACCGGGGTGGACCACCACAAGCGGTGCATTACTTTTGCTGCCGGGTTGCTCACTAAAGAGGATGTCGAATCATATTCATGGTTACTATAGAGGATTAAAACTGCAATGGGTACTGTCCCAACGTGTGTGATTACTGATCAAGACCCGGCTATGAAGATTGCTATTGCTGAGGTTTTGTCAGATTGCCGCCATCGTTTCTGTATGTGGCACTTTATGACAAAGGTGAACGAGAAAATTGGGCCCTACATGGTAAAAGACGTAGGGTTCCGCAACAAACTGAACGATATTGTTTGGAATGAAACCATCAGTGTAAGCGAGTTCGAAGAGCAGTGGCATTCGTTAATGGAAAAGTACAATCTAGCAACCCACCGTTGGTTTACCAAGCTGTATACTGAAAGGGAGTTCTGGGTCCTTGCATATTTTATAAATCTTCCCATGAGTGGGTTGTTGCGCACAACATCCCGATCTGAAGCAGAGAACAGTGTTTACGGGAAGTGTACCCGACCCCACTTCAGCTTGGTGGAGTTCTATGTGCAATTCGAGGGTGTACTGGAGACTCAGCGTTACAAGCAATCTAAGTTGAACGCCGAGAGCGAGGGTTACTTGCCCGATTTCAAGACCCCCTTAGCACTAGAACGGTATTTGGCGCAGATGTTCACGATAACTATTTTTTATGAGCTACAATAAGAAATTGAAGCTGGGTGTTTCTATTGTCGAGTGGTGGGTATCCGTGAGGAGGGGGAGGTCATTACTTACAACATAAGAGGAGAGTGCACCGCTACCTACACCGTGCAATATACCCCGGTAGGGAATCATGCATCCTGTAGCTGCAAGCTATTCGAGCTGTTGGGGTTAGTTTGTCGGCACATGTTCTTGGTGTTCAAGGATGCACAGGTTAAAAGCTTGCCGTTGGACTACGTCCTTCCACGTTGGTGTAAGCAGGTGGGAGCTGGTGTATGCTGTGGGCAGTGTTGTGATGTTCCTTCTCCGGATTCTGGACCTAACCGGCTGTGGAATGCAATGCACCAATGCGCTGCCTTGGTGGGCACCAACACGGATCGGCAGACGCGGATGCTGCAAGTATTAGAAGATTTGAAAGAGGAATTTATGAGTGATGGTTCGAACGTTACCCCTGCAAAAGGTAACAATGCTGCCATCGTGGCTTTATGTGGGGTTGCACCTCCGACATCCATCACCATCAAGCCCCCGCCTCAAGCTAAAAACAAAGGGATCGGTCGACGTATTAAAAGCCAGCGGGAGTTAGCTGTTTTGAGCAGTGGTAAAATAGGGCGTAAATGCGGTGTGTGCGGCGAGTACGCCCGTCATAACGCTCGTAGCTGTCCGTATAAGTGAGCGGGTGCTGCGGTACCATCAGAATAACACCCCCCCACCCCTTATCGTCCCTTGGTAGACATTGTGACCTGGGTATCGTTTGTGTTTATTTTGCTTATTGTAACCCCTTTGGAAGCACCATTTTTTTTACAATATTTGAAACGCATGACGTTTGTAATTCATGAAGTGCAATGTGGTGCACATAAAAACTAGCAATTGGTACACTGTCTTCTTCTGTAAGTGTAGAACATACTTTGTGTTGTGGCCGTCCACTAGACAAACCCATTGCTCAAGCTGAGAATTTTTAGTGGTAATCTGTTATTTAATATTAATTGGCCAATCTCCATTTAAACTACATGTATATTCTCACACACCAAATTGGAAGCAGAGAACACATAGCATTTGGGACGTGTGCAATTGGGCTTACTTTTGGCTTCCAGTTGTTCTGATAACTACGACGAGTGCAATGAGGTAGTAGTAATATGCATTGTTAAGAGTAATGAAGAAGAGGAAGATCATATAGTGCAAACACGATGGAGGCATTGTAATATCATTTGGATTGAGAACCAAAACAGGCCAAACCACAGGCCGGCTAGAGTATTTAAAATCAATTATTCCACCAATACCAAACCGAAAATCCCCACCGGAATAGGGTGGTAAAAAAGTTACTTAATGACCCTCCACAAAATCAAATGTGTTGCACCACCGTCGTGCTAATGTTATAGGCTTTATATACACAAAAAAAAAAACATTAACAAGTTTTAAATGGTCCCATTCTGCATTCCCTACCATGTTACTGACGTGTACATCCCTATCCATAAAGCACCCGTTCCGACCTGATGGAGTCGTACTCCCCCACTCGTGTGACAATGGTACGCATATGGATATTTGTCTCGCTGAGCAGAATGTTATGCAAGTAACGCTTGCGCAAGTTCAGAAACAATGTAGCGTCATTTGTTTGTAATCTAGTGTACCATTTTGGACAACGCTCCCCCACGAACGACTCCATATGGCGCATCGTATATATTGCCGATTCTGCGCCGCACGTGGTTTCACCCCATGTCAACGGCATCCTCGTGGGTGTCATGGACCTTAGTTGTAGTGCACGGACTGGCTGATGTTTCGTTTCGAGATATGCAGCGAATAGGTCAATCTGCACACAACACCGATTACAATATGGCATGCAATGGTACTAACCGGTAGGGCGAATGACTATGAGTGCAGGGGGGTTACCATTTCCGCCGGTGCTCGCCCATACGTTTGAATCCCTGTGTCTGTCGCTGGTGCACTATCAATGATGTCGAAGGCGGGATGCTTGAAATTGATGCTCATAACATAGTAACGAGTGTTGTGCATTATTGCAAAAGTATACTGCCACGACGTATAATTATGTCATCGAAATTGTGTATATTATACTACATTGGATGCACGGATCATAAACTTACCAAGTCTACCGTGGATAATCCCACGCGGCCTGCAGCGTCGACCTCCACATCAAGACGACGTGCGAACCACGAAAGCCTTTCATTTCTACTGGCAGCAACATTCACCACAGCCCCAATCTGCACACACCATTACAATGTAATAAAATGAGAGTACAAAACTGCACAAGGGTAATTTCATGCTACTCAGTAGGATATACTGCACAGCTGGTTCGGCCGTAATAATTTTATCACATTGACAATTGCACTACAAATATTTTTAAAAACAGTAAGAGAAATGATAGTTGCAACTAAACATGGTGTAAGATAACCAGTACCAGCCATGATAGAAAGTTTGAGAAATTAGAATACTACCAAACGGAACTGCCTAGGGCGTACGAGTTAGAATAATTATGAATATTTCTAGGCACATACCGTAACAGCTGTTGTTAAGAACAAGCGTGAAGGCACAGTTCGCTCCCTAGGTCTCTCTCTCGCATTCAGCACAAGACACCAAGCATCTACTACCACTTTGGAGACGTTAGTCCCCTCCTTTAGCGTGTCCAGGTTGGCCCATTTCACTCTCCGGTTAGCGTGCTCGAACAGAACTTCATTGCTAGCAAATTAAACATACACTTGTTGTTACACATAGTTTATGATGTTGCGTCCATTCTCCTACATGTGGTGTACTCTACTTACCGGTCACTGTGCGGTGACCTAAAAAGCCACATCCAGACAACATATATCGGTGGTAGTGGAATTGCAGGGTATCCCGACGCTGTGCTGAAAAAAAAAAAGCCGACTGGCTCAGACTCCCGCTCGATGGGCCTCTTGCCTTTGCAGTCTGCCCTTAACTGAGGTGGTGACTCCGATATGGTGGTCCTGTGGGGCGCACGTAGCAAAACCTGCATTTTTTGATTAGATGAACCCTACGTACAAACACAATTGCACCAGAACTAGAATGCATGCACATAACAAATACAATTGCACAAATGGTACTGCTTTTTCAATCCAGAAAATAATAAATCTTCACAAACCAGCTAATAGTACTGGTCGTGCTGGAGGTGTGTGACAGTGTCGTTGATGCTAGGACTCACATTTTAGGAAACCCTGAAGATAGAGAGCTTACACAGTCCAAATGGTACTGCTTTCCTGGATTACTGGCTAATAGTATTTAGCTTATTTACTCCACCATAATATTTACCTACCCACTCGAACAACGTTGGAGAACATTAACTACCTTATTTATTACTTACATCTCTTCCATTTTTTAAACATCATACTCTGTAATGGTTTGTAATATAAATTCCCCTTCATTTCCATGCTACTAGTAAAGCAAAGTAACGCACAGGAAAAAACAGAACAGAATAAAAGCCCCAACAAAGTTAAGGCGAAACAGTGGTGCAATCCTATTCAGCCTAGTCGTATGATTTACATCTTTTTTATTAATCCTGGATGCAGTAAATGCTGGATTATTAATCCTCAGTAATGTACCATGTATGGGATGCATGCACATAACAACTGAAATGGCACCAGACCTAGGATGCATGCACATAACAATGAAAATTGCACCAGTACTGGAATGCTTGCACATAACAAGTAACATTGCACAAATGGTACTGTTTTCCTGGATTTCTGACTAATACAATTCAGCTTATTTACTCCATAATAGTAACACCCGTTGGAGAATATTAACTACCCGTATAATAGTAGTTGGCTACTAGTGCACTCTTAGGACTAGAATGCACACTTCTAGAACAAAAATGCATAGCCAACAAAAAACCTAAACCAACAACGGAAACCACACTACTAAAGCACAACCCTCATAGTACGACCAAACATAATGAACAAGATAATGCACACGGTAATTAATGCTTCACCAGTACACATAAGAGTACATATCAAGATAATCGTATAAGTGTATACCACTTGGGGGGGGGGGGGGGGGGGCATTATCCACGTTTATACCTGCGCAGTGGGCGTCACTACATTTGACGGTCCAGCCGTGGTACCTCCCACCCGCTGCGATGCTACTTTTGCCGTGGCCCTTGGGCCAGGACTTGGAGTGGTCGAAGGTATCTGCACCAAGCAGTATGTGCAAGCATCAGTAACAGATCTGGACACCCATGTAATCTGTAACACGACCCACCTAAGAGGGTGCACTATACTACGTTTATACCTGCACAGTTGGCACCACTACGCTAGCCGGCCCAGGTCTGGCACCTCCCGCCCTTCGCAATGCTAATCCTTGCGGTATCCCAATGCTAACCCTGGGTGCCTCCCACACTGACGTACCCGGGTTGGTGCCCCCTGTAAACACAAAAAGTATCGAAATTGTATATATTCACAAAATTTTGTGTACAGCGTGTGTATAAATCAAGGTGCAGGTATAAGTCTCTGTGTAGTCCTCTGATTCTTCACTATTGTTATCTATTGAAGTGCCTCCGGGAATCAAATAGCGTAGCCTCCGGGATTCAAGTGGCGCGTGCCTCCAGGATTCAAATGGCGTAGCTCCCGGGATTCAATTGGCGTGATCTTCAATAGCAAATGTCAAGCTTCGAAGCAATCAACCCTGCAAAACATCAAATTAAAGCGCCTGCAATGGCTTCAAGTTGCCTTAAAGATCCTCAAATGCCTTCAAAAGACTTCAAGATCTTCGAGCCAATCAATTCTGCAAAGCTCCAAAGTACCTGCAATGGATTCAAATTGCCTGCAAAATCAACAAAAATGCCAAGCGTTCTTCAATGCCTTCAAGCTCTTCAAATGCTCTAGTTGTTCTTCAAATGCTCTCAACTCCTCAAGTCTTCAAGTTGTCAAGCGTCGTTCTTCAATGCCTTCAAGCTCTCAAGTCTTCAAGTTGTTTTCAATGTATTTGAGGTGTGATTTAAAGAATGAAATTGAGGCTCTATTTATAGTGAAGTTTGTAACCAAAATCCCTCAATAAACTCCACTAATATTTATTAAATTAAATTAATTAATTATCTACTAAAATGAACCTTGCCAAAATCAAGTCTAGGTTCATTGTTCTATCATCTAATTCAAATTCAAATTAAATTATAATTATCTAATTCAAATATAATAAAATCATATTACATTTAAATTATAATTATAATTATAATTCACTTATGAAATGAGCTTGGACCAATTAATTAATTAATTCAATAGCCCAAATCAAATTTACTTGGACTAATTAAATTAATATAATTGTCATAGCCCAATTAATTAAATTGGACTAATGATCAACCCTGAAATTGGGCTCGATAATGATTTAATCGGTCCACTTGTCGGCTTCAAATTTTCTGTGTCTACAAATTGCCCCCTCGAGACTTTCTTGGACATGTCACTTGAGAGCATACACTGCTTGAAAGTATGTAGTGCATGGAAGTCTCGAAACTATATGGTCATTTCAACTCGTGCCAAGGAGCCCTGTGGGATATGAGGCAGTTTCTACTCGTGCCGGGGAGCCTTGAAGTAATATGAGGCAGTTTCGACTCGTGCTGGGGAATCTTGAAGGAATATGAAGCAGTTTCGACTCGTGCCGGGGAGTCTTGAAGGAATATGAGGCAGTTTCGACTCGTGCCGGGGAGTCTTGAAGGAATA